GCATCTGGACATGTATTGAGTCAGGTGCAGATAAGCATCTGGACATGTATTGAGTCAGGTGCAGATAAGCATCTGGACATGTATTGAGTCAGGTGTACAAAACATCCTAATGACCAACTCACCCGTCCTAAAGAGTACCTGGACATGTATTGAATCAGGTGCAGATAAGCATCTGGACATCTATTGAGTCAGGTGCAGATAAGCATCGCTTCCCCAATCAGGAAGTACCCGGACGTGCAGTGAACCAGGTCGAAATACTGGTCAATTCGCATGTCAGAGCACACCTGGACATGCCGTGAGCCAGGTGCGTATCATGCAACTCGCGTACCTGTGCTCGGTACATTTTGGCAGAGACTTCTTCCCTTCTTTCTTAGAGGCTTGCCACACAGGCTGTCGAAAACCATGTTTTCGACAATTTTGCATCGCCACACAGACTTTCGAGGAATTGCGGGTCGAAAAAATCTCGACAGGTGTCAGAATGGTACTTTCGACAGCCGCCCTCCAGCAATCTTTTCCTCCACTGCAGCCTGCAGGTGACGGAAATTCGACAGTGGCCCACCGACCTTTCTATCGAGAATTGCATTCGAATTTGCATTGTCAGGGAATGTTCCGTGACACCCGTGCCCTGTCGAAAAGGCGGAGTCCGCCTGGCCATGACCAAAAACCTTGCCCCTCGACAGCCTGTGTGGCGACAGGGGGGTAAACTGTCGACAGCCGACTTTCAATATTTTTCTGACACCTATCAACAGCCTGTGTGGCGAGCCTCTTAGAAACATTGGACCACATCTCGATGTATGTCTGTCATTCATCCTTGTACTCTTCTCTGTTTCATTCCAATTTTTAATTTTTAACGGATGTCCTGAAAGACGCCCCTTTTAACGGATGTCCTGAAAGACACCCCTTTTAATGGATGTCCTGAAAGACGCCCCTTTTTGCAGGGTGGTCATTACCAGGATCGCAGCGCCTTCTTCCTGGAAAGCAGCAGCCTTAAACGCTGCAGCAGCTATCAAAGGCAAGCCAAAACATACCGAACTCAATAGCCTCGCAGCTGTGCCCTGCAGGGCATTGTCCACGGCTCTCGACCCCTCTGCTAAACCCAGTCCTTCACGTAGTGGCTCGGATCATATAATGGAACGAGTCGGGCATTACTCTGACGTCGCTTCGGGTTCAGGAGTCAGGACCTTGCAAGCAGCGTCGCTCTTCTAACACCAAATCACAAGGTGTGGCAACCTGTAGTGCACATAAACCACCAAGCTACTAATGAAAAACTTCGTCGTATTCAGTGGAATATGCACTGAGAAAGTGCTGACTCGATGTTCCCCCCGCTCAGTGTGTCGAGGTCCATCATCAGAAGCACTGGGCCTTGAAACCACCACTACTTTTCCCAGGCAACATCGAGGATCGAAAATGTAACATTCCGGATCTAACGTCTTCGGACGAGCGGTGCTATCGGACCCAAACAGCTGGCAGCACCAGCCAAAAGAAAAACAAAAAGTTGTGCTGGCGCTTACGACAGAGCTTATCGCGCAGTCCTTTTCCGCCCTGGCAAAAAGAGGCACGGAGGTAGTGGTGGTTTAAGGAGGAGGAGCAGAGAGTGTCCGAAGCATGCGCATTGCCCCCCCCCCCCCCCCCAACAAAAAGCAAAAATCTGGAGAATCTCAAAAAAGCTTGAGAGAACCCCCCACCTGCTTACCACAGTGCTTTGATATCCAGTGGGGGCGCATGCACTGAGAAAGTGCTGACTCGATGACCCCACCGGTTACAGGCCCCATCATCGGAAGCAAACCACCACTACCTCACCCAGGCGAACTTCAGAATCGAAATCGAACGAAAATCGAAAATGCGACATCGCGGATTATTCAGATGAACAGTGTTACCAGACCAACAGACCAAAATGGCAAAAAGAGGCCGGGCCATGCCGTGTAAAAGAAAAAAAAGTTTGGTGCGCAGCGGGAAGCCGCCTCGGCAAAAAGAGGCTCGGAGGTACTGGAGGCCTAAGCCACCAGTAGACGACCACCCAGCCTTAATAGAGAAATCTTTCATCACCTACGGAAAATTCGGCGGCTCCGGGCTACCGGACCACAATGGCTGGCGCCACCAGCCAAAAAAGAAAAGAAGTGCGCCACTGGAGATTCAGAAAAGCTTGGAGCGCAGTGGAAGACGGCCAGGCCCAGGTGAACTGGTGGATTAAACCGCCACTACGTTTGCCAGGCAAAGACAAGAATTGAACATGACACTGGGAGGTAGTGGCGGTTTAAGGAGGGGGAGAAGAGACGGAGAAGCATGCGAATCGCGCCGGAACCCCCATTAAAAGGCAGAAATCTGAAAAATCTGAAAAAAACTGAGACCCCCCCCCCCCACCTGCTTACCACAGTACATTCATATCCAGTGGGGCATGTGCACCGAGAAAGTGCACACTCGATGGCCCCATCAGTCGGTCACAAGACCCATCATCAGAAGCAAAGCACTGGGCCTTAAAACCACCAATACCAGGCAAAAGAAAAAGTTCGGCGCGCAGGGGGAATCCGCCTCGGCAAAAAGAGGCTCGGAGGTATTGGTGGCTAAAACCACCAGTACTTGGCCCAGCTATCGGCCGCGGAAAAAAATAGAGTAGAAACGTTTCTAGTTGGATGAATTTGGGCGCTCCTGTAGTGGCCCGTACGTTTCCTAAAATCGCGTAGCGTTAACGGGCGCGACTTTAGGAAGTACTGGTGGTTTAAACTGCCACTACCTTTCCCAGGCAAAGTCGAGAATTGAAGATGAAGCAGTCTGAACTTCTGAAGACCAGATGAACAGTGCGACCGGACCAAAATCGCCAGCAGCGCCTGCTGAAAATGGGGGCGGGGGGGGATAAAAATGCGGCCATGGCAGCTCGTTTCTTTTGGTGCGCAGGGGGAACCCGCATGGGCAAAAAGAGGCTCATAGGTACTGGTGGCTCAAAGAGGGGGAGCAGAGAAGGAGAATCATCCGTAAGGCCCCGAAATCTGAAAAATCTACACAATCTGAAGAAAGCTCCAGAGAAGAAGTCCCACCTGCATACCGCAGTGCTTTGTCCACATGTGTTCCACATCACGATCAGGTAACACAAGCGAACAACTACCCCAGCTGCACATCTCTTCCCCTTCCCACCTATATCCCCTCCCTCCCTCCCATTCTCTCTCCCTCGCTCCCTCATCTTCAGGGTCACTGTTGTTCTCCCTGCTGCGGTTGCGCTCCAACGGATTGCCACAACGCCTTGTCGGCTCGGACCACAAAATGAGTGAGGATGCCATTGTGTTCCAAAACACTGTCGATCATTTTCCCCCGCAATCCTTTCTGCGCCAACATCTCATCTGTCTCAACGATGGCATCAAGGAATGTAGACTTGAAATTCTGCCCATCGCGTCGGTGGGGAACGAGACGCGGCGTGGCGGACCCAGGGTGGGATTGTTCGTAGAAGAGTGGCACAGGTTTGCTTCCCATGGGGATGTGCTCAACCAAAGCAGACACTAACTCCTTGACTCGGGAGTAGTTGTACGCCTTCTCCTCCCATGTGTCACAGCTAATCAATCGGTAAACTATGACTCGACGGGTCTGATTGAGCCTGTATGCCCTACTGATGGCTTGGATGGTATCACAAGGGTTCCAGGAGACATCAAGGAACACAACCCTGGAGGCACCTATCAAATGAATACCCTCGCCGCAAGCCTTCCGCGAGAGAAGACATATCTTTGTCTGATTGCAAGGATCATTGATGATCTTAATTTCCTGACTTCTGTCCGCCTGACTCATCGAACCCAGTATTGAAACCACTTCCACGCCTTCCCTCCATCCCCGGGTTTCCTTGGGGGACTGTTCTGACGTAATCATTCTTGCAAGTGCTTGCAGGGGTCTGATGTACGTGCTGAACACAAGGATCCTTTCGTTTGTCGATTGGCAGGCCTTTATCAGTTCAAAGATGAACCAGATCTTGCAGCTGTCATGAATCCTTGGCTTTCCATGGCGAAGAGGGTCCAGCAACTGTTTGCCATCCGGTTCAGAAAGACATGCTGCGATGTTTTTTTTCTTAGGATTAGCAATCAAGTCATAGGGGTCAAGCGCGAGCGTGGCGAACTCTGCATAGCAAAACGACTCAGGGTTCGTGCACGCGTCAATTCTGCGCACGCCTTTGATCTTGTTGTACATCCATCTCTGCAAAGGCGTTAAATATATTTTGATAGTGTAATCGTCAAGCCCGTGCGGTCTGGATTTCAGCACTTGGCTGCCGTTATGAAAGTGCACAAACGGTTCCATCAACTTGTGAAGCCGAAAGAGAACAGGCTCTAGCGCACGCTTTTCAGCAACCGACTTCATTTCAAGACCTGCCATAATTGGCACCTCTACAGCTTTCAGAAAACCCTGTCTTGCCTCTTTCATGGTCACACGTCTGCGCCTCACTCTCCTCCCCCTTCGCTTCGCCTCACACTTCCCTTTCTCTGGTGTTATTCCTTCTTTAACTTCCTCCTTTTTCTCTATGCCAGCAACTTTCTGCAGCCCCTCGTCCTCTGCTTCCCCGTGCCTGCCATTCCGCAGTTGTTCGCTCCTTGTTTTGCTGCAGTTGTTGCCATTTGCATTACTCTTCATCTTCTCATTCTGATCTTCTTCCACCTTGCCCTCCTCTTCTCCCTTACTCTTTGTCTCCTCTTTTGTGGCTTTGCCTGGCTTCCAATCCATGACCATGGCGCATCCGCTCGTGTCGGTATCGCTGGTTCCGTCATCCTCACCTTGTGGACCTTGATTCCGCTCAGACTTTCCTTTCCTTGACTCTCTTCCCTCCTCCTCATTCTCCTGGCTCTCCCTAGCCTCAATCTTTTCATGTACCTCCTCCTCCCCCTCTGCTTCCCGTTGCTTCCCATTGTGGACTCGCTTGTTTCTTGTATGGCTACTGTTGCCATTTGCATTACTCTTCACCTTCTCCTTCTTCTCTTTATCCTCTTTCGCCTCCTTTTTCTCCTTTGCTACCCTCTTCTCCTCCTCCTTTGTAGCTTTGGCTTGCTTCCAATCCTCCTCCTCGAGTATCATGCATTCGCTTTCACTGCTATCACTGTGTCCGTCACACGTGGGTTGTGCACGTGAGCTCAGTCCATTGCTCTGGCCCTCACTCACTGCAGTTTTCTTCCTCTTCTGCTTCGGCTGCTCTCCTTCCCCGCTCTCCTCCTCCTCCTCCTCCTCCTCCTCCTCCTCCTCCTCCTCCTCCTCCATTTCCTCTCCTTCACTGGCATTTGGCATGTTCTCGCAATTGCTCCTCGCCCAAGAAGTGCAGATATCTGTTATGTACTCATCCCTGACGAAGGACAGCTGATTAAACAGCTCCTCCAAGTTGTTATGGACGAGGGTTCCAGTCATTGAAATCCGCAAACGTGTCTTCATCTTCATCAAACTATCAAACAGGCGTGTTGTGCTATCTTTCATTCTATGGCCTTCGTCTACCACAATAATCGTCGCATTTTCCAGCAGAGCCTGAGAGCGACGTTGCTCTGTGATGAAATCATGGCGGTCAGCTGCAGTACCTTCACCCAAACTCTGTGGATCCTGCAAATTGTCATTTTTCACACCTGGTCCACCCGATGGACCGCCCAACTCCGCTTTTTCCTCTGAACCGGCAGCAGCCACAGCAGCCACATTCCCGTCGCAAAGCACTGGTTCCTCCTCGACCGTGTTTTTTCTCTTTCTATCTGACATCATCATGCTAAATTTCGTGTGGCTGATGAGTAACACGCCACCACGTTCATTCCAGAGCTCGATAACATTCTGACTCCCTTTCTTCGGTGGGCATAGGGGGTCACGTTTCCCATCTGCCTCCGCCGCAACTTCGGCAGCTTTTTGGTCCTTGCCCTGCACCCATCCGCACTGCTGCGGCTGCTTCTGTGGCCGCCGAGCGTTCCGGGCCCAAAAACCCCGGTCCAGTTTTCTTCTTTTTCCACCTGGGGGTCCGGTGAAGGGACGACCAGGTCCAGCGCGACCACGGCCAAGCCCCTTCTGCTGCCGCTTCCGATTCATTCCAGGACCTTCTCTACTACTCAGACCGTGCCAGGTCCTTTTCCTCCCTGCTGTCGAGCCATCCCTCCACTTTACTTCATCGCGGTCGCGGTGGTCATAGGCATGATGATCTATGTCTTCACTCGGATCAGTAGAGTCATCAGGGAGAATAATAAGACCAGGACCGCCGGAACCACATCGGGAATTCAGACCAGATGCAGGAACTGGAGCAGGCGTCCCGGGGCCAGAACCAGTCCGGTTCAGACCAGATGCAGGAACTGGAGCAGGCGTCCTGGGGCCAGAACCAGTCCGGGGACGAGAACCACGACGGGAACTTGGACGAGAGGCAGGAACCGGACCCGCCGTCCTGGAACCAAAGCCAGTCCTAGGACTACAACCGGAAACAGAAGCAGGACCTAGGCGTTTCTGTTTCCTCCTGAAAGCTTGCTGCCAATGCTTGTCCGTTTTCTCATCAATCACGGACACCTCCACTCTCCTCATCCTCCCCAGACGACGATCTGTACAGTTCGTCCATCTGCCAAACTCGGACTTCCACGTCGTCAGCATATTCGCGGGTACGATAAGAAGCGCCCGGACCAGTGTCTCAGGATGGTATTTGAAGTATCTCTCCATAAACGCGATTATCTGAAGGGTTTTGCCTGTCCCTGGCGCATGGGCCAGGATACAACCTCCTACTTCCGTGGACTCCACGGAAGTACAAGTAGAAGTTGTCTTCTTCCCTACCTCTTCTCCCCTCCCTTCTCTATCCCTCCTCCTCACGCCCCCTTCCCCTGTTTTCTCACTCTTCGTCTCCTCATTTGCTGTATTGCAGAGAGAGGTCAAGATAGTAGTAGCAGGAGAGGAGGAGGTCGTACAAGGACCTGAATTGCCTCCATTCGGCGTGGCTGTCCCTTTTACTTCTACGTTAACTTCCTCCTCCGTGACTTGTCCCTTGCCCATTGTTGGGCTTGACGTCTCCCTGGCTTGTAGCGCATCATGTACTTGCTTGTCCAAGTCTTGGTGGGACGGAAGGTGAACTCCCATCACCAGATTACGCCAGAGGAACTGGAACCCTTCTTTCTGATGAGGATGCATCCGATTGTATATCCAAGGATGAGGTTTGATCATCCTTGTCCGGCTGCGTGACACGTCCTTGGGTGAAGAAGCCATGGCAGTGGCCGCCGCCGCCGCCGCCTCCCCTCTCTTGTCTTCACCTGCTTCTTCCTCGCTTGCCCCCCCCCCCCCCACCGTTGGATCACAACCATCGTTGGCCTTCGTCGCATTCAAACGCTTGCCGTCGGGCGCGTATCGGTAGCGAGTAAACAAGCGGCTCCAAGTTTCCAGATCGTAAATGACCATTTCACACCGGGTGCAGATGTATCCTTTGTTCTCGATCAAGATGGGAGTGTGCTCAAGGCCTTGGTCAGGGCATGGAACGCGGTTGTCCGCATCATCATCCGGAGCGACCACCGTCTCTCCTCCCACTGCGGACTGTTTCGCAAGCAACAACTCCGCCTCTTTCCCTTGCTTCAGCAGGTCAAACGCCGCATACAGAGCGGAATACTCATCCTCGACGTCATTTCCTGCATCGCCTCCCTCTTCATCATTCCGCTTATCGCTCTGTCCATGGCCGGTTGTCGAATCATCGTTCTTTACCCACGCTGACCAAGGAAGAGAGGTCCCTTCCTCCGCTCGTTTGCGCCGCCGCTCCGCTTTCCGCCGAGCTTTCGCGCTCTCGTCTTCGTCACTCCCGCCGCTGCTGCGCCCCCCTGAAGACAACGACCCGCAACTGCTCAGCGATGGATCAGAATCATCACAAGAACCGTCTCGACGGCGATCAACCTCATCATCCTCATCATACACAGGCGAAGACCAGGTTCGTTCACTGCCAAATTCATCGTAATCTTCCTCCTCCCCCTCCTCCTCGGCCGCTGCCGCCGTCGCCGCCTCGACCTCGGCTTCTGCTTCCGTCTCGTCGTCGTTTACAGAACCTGTATCGTCACAAGACGGCTGCTCTTCCTCGTCTCTGACATACGACTTACCCGATTCCGAACCACTTCCCGAACCGCTTTCTGACCCTCTCTCCGCATGATGGTCATGAGTATCCTTCTCCTCGAGATCCAGTTTGCTGTCATCGTTCCACCACTCTTGTTCGTCGTCACGATCGCTATCCTCCATGTCTGATTCCCTCCCCCCCCCTCTTCCTCTTCCTCTTCTTCCCTGCACTCCGACATATCCGCCGCCGCCGCCATAGCCGATCACAAGATCATCGTCGTCCTCTTCTCCGTAATAGTAACTCGAGTTTGTTCCTCGCATCCAAAACAAACCACTGCGAGAGGTAACCCTCACCGATTTGACTTTCGGGACCTCTGGAGAGGTTCTACCGGGCGACGCAGCGGTCAACGACTCGGCGCGTGACTCCTGCGCAGGCGAAGTGGTAGGGTAAGGAGCATTCGAGGGAGGAGGCGGAGGAGGAGGAGGAGGACGAGGGAAGAAGCCCTTCTTAGCGGGGTCCCGCCTTCCAGCCATTCCGGGCTTACTAGTACCCAAATGCTGCGGAGGCGGGGGCATATGCGCTCTTCTGCCCATTGTACCAGAGCGTCCAATGCTCCTGCTCGCCGTCTCTTTCTGAACATTATTATTATTATTATTACCCCACATTTTCTTCTTGCGGATCTCATCCCTACCCTCATGTCGGTTATCATCTCGATGACGATGCTGGGCGTGAACCCGGTCATACTCCCGCCCGTTGTTACCCCGATGAACGCCGCCGCCGCCGCCGTCCGAACGGCCATCTTGTCGACGACGGGTGTACCGAACGTCGTTCCGCGAGTTGGGACCGGTCATCTGTTTGTTGTCAGAGCGCTCTCTGTGGTTCTCATGCCGCCTGTCCTTTCTCCGCGTCGCCTTCCATTCCTCCTCCGCACGCAAGTTTCTTGCCGCCTCAGCTTGCTTCCACAGTTTTCTCAATGAACTTCTCACCTCATCCTCTACGTTTTGACCCCGTGCTGACGACCGATCTTCGGCACCAACCCTGGGACTCTTATCATCCCTTTCGGTCAAAACCACCCCGGTCTTCCCTCTTGGCCATTCTCTTTGGTGCCCTCCCGGGCACCACCCGTTCCACCCTCCCCAAGCACTTAAACCTCTTTGCATCTCTCTCCCCTTGACCGGATCTCCTGTCGGATTCTCAAACCCGACTTGAACGACATGCGCATGCGCATGCCCTTTCGACACGTGGCACCTCTCCGCGTCGAACCGAGACTCCGTTGTCTTCTTCTCCTGATCTACCATTGCTATCCTTCCCCCTTGCACCCTCTCCTCCTCGCTAATTGCTTTCTTTTTGCCCTCGCCTTTCGCCTCCTCCCTCTCCCAATGGTTGGGATCATCCTCTGTCGCATCCAGAGATTGTTTCTTCCCGATGTAATGCTGCTTGGCTATGGCTCCCCTTGGACCTGGACGCCTCGGCAATCCATAACATTTCAACAATGTCCGATCCCCTCGTCCTGAAACTAACACTCCCTGCTGACCATCCTCCTCCACCTCCTCCTCCACCTCCTCCTCCTCCTCCTCCTCCTCCTCGATGCGAATCCGTTCCTCGCCTGCGTTCTGTAGATCGGACTGACGAAGCCGCGGTGATCCATAAGCTTTCGGTAATGTCGGGTCCCCCCTTCCTCGGACTGACACCCCATGCTTGTCCCGCTCCCTCTCTCCGCGATCCCGATCACCACCTGCGGTGGGCCGGTCGAACAAACAATGAGGCGCAGAGGCGCGAACGCTACCTTTACCTTCTTCCTTGGCGCCTTCTCCTTGTTCCTCCCCTTTTGCCTCATCTCCTTCTCTCATCACTCCTCTACCCTCCCTACCTCTCAAGGACAACTCCTGCTCCTTGCTCCCGGTCTCATAGCACCAACCAGACTTCCTTCGATCGGATCCTAGAAACTGACGAGATTGTCTAGACACCGTGGCGGCGGCGTGGGAGTTGTCCTGGCCCACCTCGTCCGTGTCAGTGTCAACAGCAGCGGCGGCGCCTTTTTCATCTGGTGCAGCTCTTTTCTCCTCCTCGTCCTCTTCATCGTCACTGCAAGACAGCACGGTCTCGTCTGGGACCCTTGCTTCGAAGGGATCGCTCGCTTTCCCGCCAACCACGGCAGCTGTAGTCTGGCGGCTCCAATAATTGCTGCGCCGTTCGCGCTCGGCTTCCAACCGATCACCTGCCCTCCTTGGACGCGGAGCTGAGTCTGCAGCTGTTGTCCTACGCGGCGACGAGGTCCACTTGTCCTCCTCCACCGCGTGGAGCCTCGTTTCCCCGCTCTCTCTGGCAGACTGCCTCATCATCGCCGCCTTTCCCATCGCTTCCGCCGCCTTTTTCGGAGTTCGCGGGCTGATCTCGGCAGCGGAAGGCGGAGCTGCGCTGCGCCCGGAGGAGCTCGTCATCATCGGGGCTTGACCGCTCGGAGGGAGAGTCCCGATCCCGGCAAAGCTATGCCTAGCACTCAAGGAAACTACTCCTCCTACCCCTCCACCTGCGCCTGCTCCTGCCCCTCCACCTGCGCCTGCTCCTGTTCCTCCATCGACGACGGGCCGTCGCCCGTCCGTCCCGATCTTAGCAGCAGCAGCTGTGGATCCGTTCGCTCCCCCCCCCCACTCAAACCGATCGCGCGATGGCGGGATGGGCGACGCCCGTCGAGGGCCTCGTACCGTCGTCGTCGTCGTCGTCGTCGCCGTCGTCGTCGCCGTCGTGATCCTTTGACAAGCGCCCGCGGATTGGGCGACCTTCGCCGTGGGTTGTGCGACCTTCGTCCTGAGTGAGTGACGCCCATCCGGCTCACTCGCCATGGACTTAGGAATGGCCGTCGAGCTCTGAACATAACACCCAGTCGTCGTCGATGTATCACCACCACGATCACCACCATTGTTGCCACCACCCACTCTCACGGCTCCCACACTTCCTCTTCCTCCCTTCCTTACTTCGCCACGGTCGTCCACCTGATGGTAGATGGTACTACGATTCCCTGCCGAACGGGAACCCCGACACCGATGTTCGACGACCGCCCGATCGGGGGGAACACGATCATCACCTCGATACCTATGTTCGACATCCGGATCGCGATGACGATCATCATCCAGATACCGATGCTCGAGATCCGCGTCCCGACGACGATCATCATCGGGACGACCATCCAGGCGATGACGACGATCCCGATCGGAGCAACAACGATCGCGATGATAACGGTGGCCATCCCCATCAACTCCACTTTGGCGACGGTCTCCGTCCGGATCGGGTTTAGTAGATGCATTAAGCCGCCGATGACGAGGGATCCCGACAAGCAGATCGCCCTCCTCGTCCGTACTGGGGAGATTGTGCCCGTCGGGATCGCGCCCACTATCACGACGAACATTGACAAAATGATGTTCTTTGCTGCTGTTGGGAGCGGGACGGTAGACACTGCGATCGCGACCGAGACTACTGCCCACCGGTCGATGTCGACGAGCGGTATCGATGCCGTGAAAGCCATTTTCTTCCTGCTGCTTGTAAGCACTAGCAGATGCCTGGCGATGAGAAGGAACACCGCCGCCATTAGATCTTCTCTGAGGGAGGAGGTTTGGTGAATGCATAAACCCCATTAATTTGGGCGACGAGTGCGACGAAACTCGAGGCTGCGTTACTCTGCTCTCTTCCCGACTACTGCTCGTCCGAGCGACATCCGCCCTGGCCATAGCCGTCGAGGTCATCGCTGTCGGATTTGGCAGCATCTTCGGATAAGCAAACAGCCGCGTTCTTCCTCCGTTCGACACGTGTACATTCATATCCTTTCTTACTCTGTTAAACACGTGTGCGTTTTCTTCCCCCTCCTCCTCCCGCCCTTCCTCCTCCTCCTCCTCCTCATCCTCCTCTTCCTCCTCCTCCTCTTCCTCCTCTTCCTCCTCCTCCTCCTCCTCCTCCTCCTCCTCCCTTTCATCCTCTTCCTCCTCTTCCTCCTCTTCCTCCTCACTCTCCTCTCTCTCCTGCCGCCCGGAACCAATCATTACTCTTTTCACAAGTCCTCTCGGATTCATCGGCGGTGGGTTCGGCAGCATTCTTCGGATCCATGGCAATTGTTTGCTTCCCACTTTTTCTTCCTTCAGGTTTTCTTCCTCCTCCTCCTCCTCCTCCTCCTCCTCCTCCTCCTCCTCCTCCTCCTCCTTTCCGTTCTCCTTATCCCCTTCCTCCTGTTGTTTTCCCATCCCAGAGACCGTACTCGGATGGGGCTGATCACCACCACCACCACCACCACCACCACCACCCATTTTGCCCCCAGACCAAATCCGCCGAGCCAACTCTGCTAACTTCATTGACTTCGTGATTCTCCTGTCTGCCTTTCCCACTTCGTTGCTTGGCCTATCCCGTTTTCACATTCTCTTTCTTTTCTGTCTTATATTACATTTGCTTACCTTCTTGCCTTTCCGCTTGTCGTCCCCTTCTTTTTTTCCTTTGCTTTCCTCTTGTCCTGCCTTCATTCTCTGCCTTTCCTTCGCCGATGAGGTGTTTTCCCTCGCTCCACTCCTCACCAAATGTGCAAAAATGAGAATGAATCTTCCGCTAGAACATGGAAAGATACACCGCCATATTTTTTGTCTTTCGTGCATGTGGAGAGTGGTGGAGCGAGGCCCAATTGCCTGAGGCTACTGCCACTTTCCACTCCCACACGCACACCCACACCCACCTCCACTGCCCCACGCATGATTACCCAGGAACGCACCGCAGGACGACGATTCAGCATGCACGACGTAGGCACCAACACTAGGACGATCACGACGACTCTTGGATAGGAGAAGTCGCAGAGGGCGGGAGGGGGGGAGGGGAGGGAGGGGGGGAAGAAACTAGTAAAAATATTGGCCACACTTCATCACACTCTGTATATTCTTTCGAAAGAGGAAGCCACTTCATTTGCCCCGTCGTCAAGATCGAACGATCTGCGATTCTTTTTTCGCCGATCGAACAACAATATATTTATTTTATCTGCGCTCACAGTGACGCACAGCCGTATTCAAAACGGTCCCGCGGGCCCAGGTCCCATTAGCACAGTGGATGGACTCAAGAACCTGTATACGGATATAGGTTCTTAGCGGAGATGCAGAAAAGCAGATCAATCACGGTTTTCTGCACCTGTCCTCAGACACGTCCAGATTCAAGCATTAAATTTAATCCCCTCTGTGCTTGCCTCGCCGCACCACTCACCAAATGCACAAAAGACAAAACTTACTTATGGCGATGGTTTTCTTTTCTTCTGTTCTTTTTCAAAACCGAGGCGATGTATTTCCATGTTCTAGCGGAAGATTCGCATTTCGCATTTTGTTTGCACATTTGACGAATGGTGCGGCGAGGCCCCCAGCCCCTGTGGACCTGTGGTGGCTGAAAGACAGGAGCTGTTGATAAAAATAGACCGAAGATCGAAATCCCGACCATTCAAACGAAAAAAAAAAAAATACCACCTTCGGCCATGATATGTCAAAGCCGTCCCCTCTTTACAACGGTCGCAACAGTGCGCGATGATCCCAAAGTGTTCCACCAATTTACAGAGAATTTCATTATTGGTATATTTATGAGACCTATACAAACAAAAAGAGAAGCTACATCTGCAGAAAAGAATAGAAAACGTAGTGCACCTAAATAGATAAATAGCAGTATTAATACGGAAGTGTTTCGAGCATCCCAAACCCAAAAGGTTCCCCACATAGGTTTTCCCCAAAAACTTCCAGTAACTAGAGTGAAGAAGGTGAACAAAGCAGGCAGAATAATTTGACTGACATTTTGGCAAGAGTTATTTTGTTCTCATCGTCTTCCTACCCTAATGGGAGAGTAGGTTATCTAAACAATTCCGGTGGTTCTTTGGTACCTAAATAAAAAAGAGATGGTATTTTATTTTCTAAACCACAAAACTTTTTATTTCTATTTTTCAATGAAATAAAAATTGAAAAATAGATTTCTTCATTCAATTTTTTTTGAGTTCTTACGGAAAATTTTGGCTTGTTAGTATATATATATATATATATCGTCACAAATAGATATATATATATATATATATATATATATCATGGACGAACACCAAACAAACAATAGGCCTTACCGGTAATTGCATCATCCGCATCCACCAACATTTTGCATGAATCGGGACATCAGAAGTGCCCTGATGCATTCAAAATGTCGGCGGATAGCGAGTGGTGCAATTACCGGTAGGTCCTTGAAAGCGAAGCAATTTTTTTTTAATTTTATGTTCTCCCGAGTTCTTACCTCTTCTAGCGAAGAGCCTTGTGAAATCGACGATACGCCTCGTTCCACTGCAGCTCACCATGTCACCAAATGTGCAAAATTAGAATGAACTTTCCCCTAGAAAGTGGGGAGATACAATACCATATTTTTTGTCTTTTCTGCATGTGGCGAGTAGTGAAACGAGGCCCGATGGCCCTTACAGAGACGGAATGGGAAAGAAACCCAAAAAGAATTGCGAAGAAGCCCCAAGAAAGAAAGAAAAAGAGCGTTCAATATCCATGGGCATGGCTCCACTACTCTATGGGTCTCACTGCACTACTCTCCACTCTCCGAAAAATAGGAGGGTTGGCGTTTCAGCTCTCCGGCTTCGTGATTTTGGGTTCACCACTGCACTAAGGGGCAGATCCCACTTCTTTCCGTTCTCGTAAAGTGCCGCGGAAGGTGGGGGCACAGCACACGGAACGTGAACGAAAAATGTGACCCCACATTCCCTAGTTCTGCGGGACTTTTCCTAACGGAGCGGCACTATCTTGTGGTGCCTCGAAGATCCAACGGCCGACTGAAAGTATAAACCGCATCTAAGAGTCGAGCGGATCAACAAGCAAGAATGGTTTTACCCAGTAGAATCAGACTTCCAAGTTAGGGCACGCTCACACTGCGGTACCAAAACCGCATATTCCCCAAAAAATGGGGTCGAGGGGTAGTCACACTGGGTGCACAATTTCGCCAAGCACTTATTCCCGAACCCTTTTGTCAGCGGCCTGAGAGGCCGCGGGGGTTGGGAATTTGCGGTAACCTTGGGAGGTTACCGCAAATTCCTTATTCTTTTTTTTTTTTTTTTCAGAAATAACTTGAGAATGGAATGGCAAGATATGGGCGCCATATCAATTGAAAATGAGGAATTTGGGCAAATGGGTGACCTCGTTGGCCGGTCAGACGCGAGAAGCGAGTCCCTGAACAACAACAACAAAAAAAAAAAAAGCAATTGAGGGAAAAAGGGTCGGCGCCTTGTGACTGGCGACCTCCGCAATTTCGCACTGGCCGACCTACCGCGACTGTGGAATGGATGGTTTGGGGACACAGTGTGACTGGCGCCGCCACTATATCCCCAAATCAGGCATCCGTATTTTTTAAGAATATGCGGTTTTGGTACCGCAGTGTGAGCATGCCCTTAGAATGTTCAGAAATTGGGTGATCTTAACGACGCTTACAAAAGACGAAGGTTGTCATCCTCAATTTTCTCCCGATAGGTCCAAATAATATGTGTACAAGAATTAAAAAATTGGGCCCGATAAATTAACGGAAACGTTCAACTGGTGGTGGGACACTCAGATCTGGTCCCCAACAGTAGGGACAAAGGGGGGGGTAGCTAGCCTACTTGACAAAAATCTTGACGTGGACGTCATCAACTCCTGCACTAACACGGAAGGTCGCTGACCCTGGATGAAGTTTGCAGTAGCAAATGAGGATTGGGCGGTGGTGTCGATCTACACTCATGTTGACTCTGCTGTCAGGATTGACTTCTTTGCAGATTTACCGAAGACTATCCCCAAAAAAAAACAAAAAAGTACTTTGAATCCGGATGTAGATTATCCAAAAAGTTTTTTCCATTGGAGATAATGTGTTTCTTTTTTTTTTGAAATAACTACGGCGCAGTCAGGGTTACAGTTTGTAATTGCATCTCAAACTTCGTTTTAGCAGTTTAGTCAGGCCCCGAGTTTCAAATGCAGTTGAAACTCGGGGTGGCGTTTTCTAGCAGTTCAGTCAGGCATATGGCCGTTTTTTTTTTGTTTTTTTTTTTCAATAACTTCTTTTTGTTTTTTTGTTTTTTTTTTTCGGTCGTGCGCCGCATCGCGCCGCGCCGTGCCGCGGCTGGAAAAAAAAAAAAAAAAAAAAAAACGCCCCATGGGTGGTGGGGCATGGCCGAGATGTCTCGGCCACAGCCCAGGTGGGCCACGGCCGAGATGTCTCGGCCACAGCCACCTTTCACAGGCAAACGCGGATGGAGCCAAAAAAAAAGGAAAAGAAAAAAGAAGAAAAAAAAAAGAAAAGAAACGAGGAGCTTTGAATCCACGTACGTGGGGCTGTCTCTTATACACATCTAGATGTGTATAAGAGACAGTTGTAGCGCCCTGCCAGCCAGGCAGGGCGGATGCCACGGGTTCCAGACAAGTACTGTACATCCTGTATCGGACCGCAATCACTGCATAAGGGATGCTTTTTTTCCTTTTTTTCTCATCTGCTGCTCGTGGATGGACGAGGGCCCTGACTGAACTGCTACCCAGCCAAGTTTGAAATGAGTTTGAAATGCATTTCAAACTCGGGCCGTGACTGAAGTGCGAAAACGCAGTTTGAAGTGCATTTACAAACTGTTTTCGTGACTGCGCCGTAGTTACCCCTTTTTTTTTTAATGAAATCTCAAAATTTGGTAGATGTTACAGAACACTGAACCCACACAGTTATGGTTTTATGTGGCATGACCGTCGAAATCAACAAAGGACCCCAAACCAAAGTGGCGCCCGAACTATATTCTGGCCAGATGGGATCCATGAGACCATTGCAGGTGGGCAAATGTTTAAATTACCACCCTTTCGCATCATTACCCACTTGCGTTGAATATCATTTTGAAGGAGGTAGTGGAAACACACAAATCCCCATTCCAACTTAATGTCTCCATTCTAAAGGATCCATGAATCTTCTAATCGATTGAGACTTATAAGTAGGATTGGCAGTTAGTGAAATACCTTTTTGATAGTATGGAATACTGGGTTGATGTAGGTATTGGAATTTTGCAATCTGCAGTGATAGAGTTCTCTCGTATGAAAGCGGTCTCTCGCAATTGGAAGGAGAAAAAACTTGTTAAAACTATTGAGCACGCGAGAGAAGTTTAACGGGTCCTATAAAATTCAGAGTGTTTCGAGTATCCCAAACCATAAAGGTTCCCCACGTAGGTTTTCCCCCAAAAATCTAGTAAGTAGAGTAAACTTGAAGAAAGTAACAAAGTACTTATTTTGACATTAATTTTGAAAAATAAGTAAAAAACGAGATGTTTCATAACAAGAAACTACACAATGGTAATAGTCATTTGAGTATAAATAAATTTACATAAAGATCCGAACGGCCTGGCTGGTAGCCTAGGTTACTTATTAAAAAAAAATGCATATATATTTTTAATACTAAGAATGAATATTCGTTTGAAATGATTTGTCAAATATTATCTGTTGATTTATATATAAAATATATATATTGTATATAAATCTAGGCTACCAGCCGGGCCGCCCGAGTTGCGCTATTTTCCCAGGCGGCCCGGTCGTGCAAGGACCCAGGAAAGTCCCAAGCAAGGAAAAAAAAATAAAAAAATCCAAAAAATCCAGAAAAAAACTACGTTATGCAGAAAGATCAACTGAACAACTTTTGACTCAGGGGCACGTCGCCAATTCGTTATTGAATTAAAAAAA